TTTTTTTTTTTTTTGTACCGGGAATTGAACTCATGACCTGAGGCTTGCCAGACAAGCGCTTATGCCGCTGAGCTATATCCCCAGCCCTCAGCTGATTCTTGACTCTTGTCACAGAAAAGGAATTTCAGGACCCGTTGATGAGGGGCATAGGCAGTGTGAGGCCGGGTTAGAAAGCAAGGGAGGATGGGAAAGGACAGGTCATCCTCCGGGGGCTCGCTCTGAAGGTCAGGCTGGCCTCTCACTAAAGCCCAAGGCCCGCTTTCATGGAGCGGCTGGGTGGGCCGGGTCTGATTCGTCATCACCTCAGCTCCAGTTTCCCAGCTGCAGAGAAACCCTTATGGCTTAGGGCCACCTTGGTCCAGGTGAGATGAGGGGGATCTCACCTCACTGGGTGGTCTGCACGGCTCTGCTCTTTTGGACCCTGAGGTGATTGCACGGTTAGGACCATGGCTGGAAACTCCCAGGCTGTGCTCCAGGGGCCTGTGGGACTGGATATTGTAACCGCTGGCAAATGGATGTCTGTACAATCCTGAAAATTGCTCTAGTTACTCCTATCTTGGTGTCCTCAGTCTTGAGGTGGATGGGACGGGCCAGGTAAATTTAGGGCTAAGAAAGGCTATAATACAGACTCTCCTCAAATAATGAACAGGGTATGTGCAGAGCTGGGCAGGGCTGTGACCCAAGGTGTTAAGGTAATGTTGTGGTTTGGGGTTTTTGCAAGGGGAACAATATAGTACAGGACACATAATTTATAAGATTATTTTATAATAGTCACCCAGAGAATCATACAAAGAGAGTGCAGGAAATCTGTCCACACACTAACAACCAAGGAATTCAGCTGAGGGCCTGGGTCCTATGGTAATGTCCTACAAGAGTTCAGCTGAAGACCTAAAGCCCACAGCAATGCCTCCCACGAATATAACTGGAGGCCCAGAGCCCACAATAAAGTGTATACAAACCTGTTCCACGGATCTGTGCTGGGAAGGCCCGAAGGTCAGTGGTGGGAGCTAGAAAGCCTATGCCAGCGGGATGAAGGATCTGTGCTAGCAGGCTGAGGGATCTGCACTGGAGTCAGGAAACGATGCTCAAAGTAAGAGCCAGAGCTCCCCCGAAAAGTCCCACAGCCATCGTCAGCCACAGTGGGGTCCCGAGCTCCTCTGATGATGAGGACAGCTGAGTTCCATCAGGAAAGCCAACGTGACGAGCTTCTCCAGGAGACTGAGCAGGGCACCATCTTCCCCTCTGGAGCCGGGAAGCGATGCTCACAGTGAGGACCAGAGCTCGCCCAAAGTGAACTGAAGCCATTCGCAGTGACAACAAGGTCCTGAGCTCCTTGGACAATGAGAACAGCCGAGTTCATCAGCAAAGCCAGCGTGACAGTCTCCTCCAAGAGAACCAACAGCTCCCTACCGCTTCTACCCACTCGCAACAGACTCTCAGCTCCCAATAGCCTTACTTCTTCTTCTCCAGTTCTGCCTCTTATGCTGCTGGCAACAGTCCTCAGGTGGGCCTCCTACACCCAGCACCATGCTTATTAAGTTCAGCTGGGGGTTACAAGTTGCCCACCAGCTGTCAATCCACCGCAGGTAATTAGGGAAACAAAAAGTTGAGTTTCCTTGCCTGCTTTCTACCTCTCTGTATTTCTTCTATCCTGCTGCCTGGTGACCCGATCTGCACCTTGAGGGTCAGCATGTGAATTTGGGGGAACACAATTCAGTCAGAGAAATTATGTTTGGAAGAAAATCTGTGCCCAGGGTTCATCTTCTCTGCTCATCCCAAACCTTTCCTCTGATCACCCCCAGACCCACCCGGGCCAGGGCATTCAGCAGCGGCAGTTCCTAGTCCTAGCCCACGCTCTTCAGGGTGCGCTTGTGCAGACCTTGCCCCGCTCAGAGGTATCCAGGTAAGGGACAGGAGCAGCTGAACTCCAGCCCACTCACTCGCATGCCCTGCTCTGAGCAGCGTGCCCAGCCCAAATCACAGCTGTGCTCTGGGCTGGTGGCACCGTCAGCCACTTCCTACTCTCGGTGCCTTTGCTTCCCCTGCATGGACATGCAGAGAGGACAAAAAGGACCAGGGAACCCTGGGCTGGGTGGCTCGTGGGACAGCAGCATAGCAGAGCTGACCTGGGTCCTGCCCCAGCTGTGCCCTACCTGTGTGCGGCCAGGCAGCGCTCTCTGCTTCTCTGAGCCTCAGGCTCCTCTGCGGAGCAGGGGAGGACCAGCAAAGATGTTCAGGGACAGCTCAGCGAGGTGCCGGACTCAGCGGTGGTCGTTGTTGATAGGACTTGGGGAGGAGGAAACTTCCTGCCTCGTTGGCCCCAAACGGCACCCTGTCTGGGAGCCCCGAAGAAGGAGAGTTAGCCTCCAAATCAAGCGCACCACTCTGCCACGGTGCTGCCTGGGTTCAAACCCCAGCTCCATCCCCACGCAGCCATTTCATCCCTGACAGGCTTCCTCCTCTGGGCGTGCCACGGGGATTCACCCCTCAGGTGGGGAACGAGAACAGTGTCTCTTTGGTTTGTAGGAAGAATTTAAGTTACCACATAAAAAGCACACAGAGCACTGTCTGACATGTCAAGCACTCAATAAATACTATTGCCTTCCTTTGCTTCAAACAGCAGTCGGTGGTGATTTATAGACTGAGTTTTCTCAAAAACAGAAGTTATGCCGGATGTGACGTGGCATATCTGTGGTTTCAGCTTCTCAGGAGGCTGAGGCAGGAGGCTCACAAGTCCAAGGCCAGCCAGAGCTCCTCAGGAGGCCAAGGATGAAACCCAAGACAGACATGTTAACATCTACTTCGTACGCTGCAAGGTCAGGAATGACTTGAGACCACTGTGTCGGTAGGAGCATACAGGCGCGAAGAACCTGGGACATAATGCCTTTGTGAGGTCGCACTTGTCATGTGTGAGCTGAGGACACCCTCCCTCACTGAGCCTAGGGGACACTGTCTGGGGTCCCGAGGCAGGGTCAGACCAATCTGGCTCAGAAACGAAGCCCTGGGTCCCGCAGTTCCGCAAAATTGCCGCTAGGGGTCCCCGTGGGATCGCATCGCAGCGCTCAGCTAACACTGCGTGTGCCAGAACAGGAGAACGCGACTCCAGCCCTTTTTGAGCGCCAGACCCGCTGCCCCGCTGGGATCCAGCCCCTGGGCACCGCGCGTCCTTCCCTTTAAGCTGGTGGCCATGCTGACGGACTGTCCAGGGCTAATGCTGGCACCCACACGTCCCCAGAATTGGCCCCTGGGGCTTGCTCCTGTTAGGTAGGTAGACGTGAGTGGCCTCAGGGGTAAGGGGAGGGCGCAAAATAACCTGCTTTACTTGTAATAGTTAAGAAACGAAGACCTCGGTGTCTAAAACATGCATAGCTGGGCACTAGGTTTCAAACCCAAAGCAGAGCCTCTATTTCTAGAACAAGGTACACCCATTCCTGGTCCCCATAGCTTATGGGCCGTGGTATCAGGAAAGGAAATGGTCTCTAAAGATCCTCCCACCTTGGCATGGGACCTGTTTTAAGTTAAGAATTTCTTTCATAAGTTTCTTTCTTAAATTTCTTACCTGATTAAGGCCCCCGGAGGAGCACTGGCCATCTGAAAGAGACAGAAAGACATTTTGCACTTCCAAGGTAATTCTAAGTAAAACGTGGAGAAGCATCCTGATTTCCCCAGTTCTCCAGATCCCAGAAGTGCCTCTTGTGTGCATAAAGAGACATCCAGGCTTCCACCAGGGGCAGGAGCTTCCGTGGCACTGCCCACCTGCTCACTTAAAGATGTAACTCTCTCTGCTTTGCAGTAAACGCTGCCCACACTTCTGCAGGGCCGCCTATGCATCTTGACTGCATTCTTTCCTCACGGGCACAAGGGGCCCAGGTGGTCCTCCAGGGTCTGTTTCTCCTGGTGTCAGGACCCAGCTTCCCAGTGACAGTCAGGATATACAGGACCTTATAGGCTGAGAGCCTGACCCTCCTGTAGAAGTGCCGACATCTGCTCCCTCCAGCCGTGAGGAGCAGGGTGGGGGGCGGGCAGAGCACACCCGTGCCTCCCCTCTGGGCTCCCTGGGCAGGGTGCACAGCGGAGGCAGGAATCATGGTACCTCGACACAGTTTCCAGTGGAAGACACCTGGCAGGACCTTTAGTTCAGCTCCTTTGTCTTGCAATGGAGAACATCAAGGCCCCCCTGAGAGGGTCAAGGTCACAGCACACGTGAAGTACAAAGCTAGGACCAGATCCCAGGCTGGGCCATTCCCAGAGCAGCCATTTTCTGTCACACAGTGGGGGAGGGGGTGAGCTGACTTTATGCTTCGGAGTCTGGCAGTATCTGTTCCCAGCCAAGCCAAGGCAGACACGTGAGTTCAGACGCTGAGCTCAAGAAGAACTGAGGAGGAAGTGAGTAGATCCCTACTCTGGGGATGCGGGGACTGTCCTTCCTGCAGGGACCATGATTCCACTCCTCGTTTGGGGCTCCCTCGACTCCTAGAAGAGTTATGCACAGAGCTTAGGCTGCCTAACATTTCCTAACTCTCTGGCGACCTTTCCCTAAACAGCCCTGGGGGAGGGAGCCAGCATCACTGGACAGGCATATGGCCTGTGTCATTTTAATCATTTCTCCAACAGTGCAGCGGAGCCAGCAGAGGGCGCCAAAGCAGGAGGAAGAGTTTCAGATATTTCCTGCCTTGTTCAGAAACAACGCGGGGGCTTGCGGCTGTGGCTGAAATTTGGACCTGGGTCTGCCTGTTCTGAGGCTCTTGTTGTCCAATACCGTGGACTACCACCTAAAAAACTCGAGTTCCAGTTATAACTCAGCTTGGTGGCTTTGGGCAAATTCTCAATTTCCTCAACTATAAAGTGGAAACTGTACATCAGTAGTGACCATCTCACTGAGTCATCAAAATTGAAATGACAAAGTATATGACAGTGCAATGCACATTGAAGGTTCCCCCTTAAAGCAAAAAGGCTCATTTTCCAGTGGAAAGTTTGGGGCTGTCAACGCAATACTTAGTGGGCTGTAATTCATCTTCTCTGTTCCTTGTACCTGTTTAATCTTACCCACACCACCAGCTTGTTCTTGCCATCTTTTGCTTTATTTTTGCCTTTTATATCTTTGTGCACTACTTTATTTTCATTTATTTTTCTGGTGTGTTTGAATGTTTTGCCTCCTTAATATTGTGCTGAAAACCCAAAATTCGGTGGCTTAATTTTCTTATGGACAGTTGGTCATCTGAAAGGAAGGACCCAGTGGAATTACCTCCCACCTGTGTGGTTCAGGCCAACTACGATGTTTGTTGACCTGTCTTCAGGGGCCATGCTGTTCCAGCAACTGCAGTAATCAAGACTATTCCAAACACAAGTTACAGAATCGAAGAGGTTAGTGGCCCATGAAGTGGAAAGACCATGGAGAAGGCCTTCAGGGGTGGCATCTGTGAATGCAAGAAATGTTCTACCTGAATGGGTCCCCTTCTGCTCTGCCCTCCTCCATGTTGGCTCCATCCCTGGGCAAACTTCTCCAGTTGGTGGGAGATGGATATGATGCACACCTGATCTTCACAGAGAAGGAGGGAGGGGACATCTTTTCCAGCTGGGACTGTGAGAGACAGGGTTCTAGGATGGCCTCCAAGATTTCCCTACCTTAGTTCATATGCCCTGTGGGGTCCCTCTGGCTGTGGGAGGGACTGTAAAGAGGATAGCTAGCACATTCTGCCGTAGTGAATGGCAGAGGGGCAGATTAGCCTGGGTGGACCTGGCCTAATCAGGCAACCCCTTTCCAAGCAGTTCTCTCCAGCTAGTTTCAGGAGTGTAAGGCAGAGAGATGCACTGTGATTGGCTCAAGAGAAAGCAAACAACCGTGTCATGAATTGCTGAGGGGGTCATGTTGCAAGGTGTCCTCTGGGATCAGAGTCCCTAGCCAACAGCAGAGAAACAGGGGCCCAGTCTTACAATTTAGGGAAATAAATCTAACATCCATCGAGCTTGGAAGAGAATGCTGAGCTTCAGATCAGAACTGTAGCCTCAGCTAACACCCTGGTTTCAGCTAAGTATCTCGGTGGAAAGCCTAGCCATGCCACTGACTTCTGAGCTACATTATGGTGAGACTACAAATGTGTGTTGTTGTGAGCCACTAAATTAATGATCATTTGTTATGTGGTAATAGAAAGCTCATACAATTTCCAAAATTCCCTAGTATTAGTTAGACTGTTTTGGTTGCAAGCAACAGAACCAACTTTGGGTAACAAGCAAAAAGTAGGTTTACTGAAACAGTGTCCATAGGATCAGGAAACATGAATAGTGAGAAGTGAGGACTGTGATTGTAATGGATTGATAACTGATGGTTGGCCTGTGATCCCCAACTGAACTGAGTAAGAGTGGTGCTGAGTGTGGGAGGCCCACCTGGGGATTGTTGCCATCAGCATTAGAGGCAGAACTGGGAAGGATAAAGCATTAATTATTAAAACGTTTGTTTTCTGCCTACTTGTTCTAGTTACATTCTTGATCCTGGCTCAACAAAAGGTGATTGTGATTGGTGATCGGGGCTGCAGTCCAAGAGGCTGTAAGCTCCCTTATCCCAGACTTTTGCCTCTCTTGTTTTCTTATCTCTCTTTTTCTGTTCATCTTCGAGCTCCTCGTTCTTGGGACTTGTCGCTATAGATAGAACGACAGAACAGCTCCTGGGATGAACCCAAGCAAGAGAAATGAGTACAGGTATTTCCAGGCCTTGCTTCACTCTTTTAAGATTTAAATTCCAGAGAGAGCAGATGATGTGTACTCTTATCCCTGGCTCCTGCCTTCTTTCTCTGCTTTCTGTCTGTTTGAGGTGAGCAGCTTTCCTCCACCAGGCCCTTTCTGACTTGGAACCAGACAGCCATAGGCTGAACCCTCTGTAACCATAAGCCAAATTAAGCCTCTCCTCTTTTACACTGTGGGAGTCTGGTGTTTTGTCTCAGGGATGCGAAAGTGACTAAGACAGCAAGTGTAGACAAGGATTCACAGTGAAGAGAAGTTTGTACCAGGTTTGAAAACCAGTTTCTCAAGGTAGAAAAAGAAGGAGGATGGTTTTTCAGGCAAAGGGGTCCTTGGAAACAAGTGTGTTCCACTTGTTTGAGTGTTCCAGGAGGAGGGGCCAGTACACAGATCGTGCTCCTGACATGATGCTGAAAAGTCTAACGCCCATTAATGATTAAAAACCCTGAAGAAAATTGGAATAGATTGTCTTTATCCAATCTGATAAAAGCTATCTATGACAAACCAATAGCCAACATCATACTAAATGGACAAAACTGAAAGCATTCACTCTAAAATCAGCAACAAGTCCAGGATGTCCATTGTCACCACTCTTATGCAATATAGTTCTGGAAACATTAGTCAGAGCAATTAAGAAAGAAGAAAATGAATACGGATAAGAAAGAAAGAAGTTAAAGTATCATTATTTGCAGATAACACAATACTCTACATAGAAGACCCCCAAAATTTTACCAAAATATTTCTAGATTTAATAACTACATTCAGTAGCATAGTTGGATACAAAGTCATCAGTCAAAAGTCAATAGCCTTCCTGTACAGAAGTAAACTCATGGAGAGAGAAATTAGGGAAACAACAGCTTGACAATAGCATGCCCCCAAAATGAAATACCTAAAAATCAATCTGATGAAGGAGGTAAAAGACCTCTACATTGAAAATTACAGTACTCTGAAAAAGGAAATTTAAGGGAATATCAGAAAATGGAAAGATATTCCTTATTCTTGAGAAGGAAGAACGAATATAGTGAAAATGGCCATACTTCCAAAACTGTTTTATAGACTTAATGCAATTCTGATCAAAATTCTAATAACATACCTCACAGAATTAGAGAAACAATCCTAAAAATCATTTGGAATCAGAAGATACCTAGAATGGCAAAAGCAATTCCAGGCAACAAAGGCAAGGCTGAAGCCAGCATAATCCCTGACTTGAAATTATACTACAAAGCTACTGCGATAAAAACCACATGGTGCTGACAAAAAAACAGGATCATTGAAATAGATTAGAAGATGAAGAAGCAATTCCAGACATACTCAGTTACCTTATCTCTGATGAAAGTGCCAAACACATTCACTGTAAGAAAGATAGCCTCTTTAATAAACGGTGCTGGAAAAACTGGCTTTCTCCATGCCAAAGATTAAAACTAGACTCATATCCTTCACCATACACTAAACTAAAATCAAAATGGATCAAAGATCTAAATATTAAAACAGAAACACTAAATCTGTTGGGAGATAGTATACATGGAACTCTTGAAGACATTAGTATAGGCAAAGATTTTATGAACAAAACCCTGATCACACAGGAACTATCACATAGAATCAACAACTGGGATCTCATCTTATTGAAAAGCTTTTGCAAAGCAACAGTAACCATCAGCAGAGTGAAGAGAGAACCCACGGTGTGGGAAAATTTTTTTTCCAGCTGTTCTTCAGACATATACAAAGAATATATGAAGAACTCAAAAAAAATCAGACCCACCAAATTTAAAGACCCAGTTTAAAAATGGGCATCTTAAATGAATAGGCGCTTCTCAGATGAAGAGGAAGAAATGGCAAATAAATATATGAAAAAATGTTCAACGTCACTAGTCATTCGAGAGATGCAAATTAGAGCAATGCTGAGATTCCATCTCACTCCAGAAAAAATGGCTATTATTAAGAAATCAACCAATAAAAAATGCTGGTGGGGCTGTGGGGCAAAAGGAACCCTTCTGCACTGTTGGTAGGAGTATAGACTGGTGCAACCACTGTAGAAATCAGTGTGGAGATTCCTCAAAAAATTAAAACTAGGCATTCCCCTTCTTGGTATCTTCCCAAAAGAATTAAAAACTTCATACCACAGTGATATATGCACACCCATGTTTATAGCTGCACAGTTTGTAATAGCTAAATCTTGGAAACAGCCCAAATGTTCATCAACTGGTGAATGTATAAGGAAGATGTTGGGTTTTGATACAATGGAGTACTACTCTGCCATAAAGAAGGATAAGCTTAAGACATCTGTAAGTAAACGGATGCACCTGGAGACCATACTGTTAAGTGAAATGAACCAGGCACGTATGTGTAAATACCACGTGGTTTCTCTGGTGTGAGAAAATGAAAGTGCTAATAGGGACCAAAATGTATAATAAATATTGGGAAATGGGAAGAAAATGTTCAAATGAGAAGGGGAACAAGGGAGGGGGAGGGAAAAGGAAAGAAGGGACAGGAAAAATAGAATAGAAGGAAAAAATGGAAACAAAGCTTTTATACATAAAGAGGGGAAGAAGGCCTGAAGGGAGGGGAGGGAAATGGGAAAAAAGAAGAATCAAGATGCACCATGTACAGGTACAAATTCCCTAGGATGTATGATTTTCACTTGGTATGTCTAAAATGTACCAATAGAACAAAAATAAAAATAAAAAAATTATTTAATATATATTCTTTTTGCCTAGCTTCTTTCACATGATATGATTTTGAGATTTACCCATGTTGTGTTTACCAGTTTACTCCTTATTATTGTTTAGTATTCTTTAGTTTAATGGATGTACCATGATTTGTTTTTCTGTCTCACTATGGAGTTCAGGCTGGCCTTGAACTCACCACGTAGCCCAGCTGGCCTTGAACTCACAGAGGTCCTCCTGCCTCAGCCTCCCAAGTGCTAGGATTGCAGGCATGTGCCACCATACCTGGCGTTTTAAGAAACTGCCAAACTGTTTTTCAAAATGGTTGTACCATCCCCACCATTAATGTAAAAGAGTTCCCCCATTGTACCGAGTTGAAAGAGTTCTTTATATAATCTGAGTATGAGTTCTCTGTTTGATATTTGTGTTTGTGAATAATTTTTCTTTGTTTATGGCTTGCCTTTACATTTTCCTGATGGCGTCTTTTTAAATTTTTTTTTGAGACAGGGTCTTACCGTGGTACAAGCTGGCCTTGAACTCATGGCAGTCTCCCTGCCTCTGCCCCCAAGTGCTGGGATTACAGACATGCACTGCCATGATGGTGTCTTTAAATGAAGAAAAGTTTGAAATTTTGATGAAATCAGTTTCCAATTTTTTCTTGTATGATTTGTGCTTTTTTTGTTCTATCAAAGTTTTTTCTCCTATATATTCTTTTAGAAATATTACAGTTTTTGGTCTTACATTTAGGTCTAGGAACTATTTTGGGTAAATTTTGTGTATGGTTTGAAATAAGGTAACCCGTTTATTGTGTGCAAATCATCCAGTTGGTCTAGCACCACTTATTGGTGCATTTATTATTATTTATCATTTTCCCACTGAAGTTTTTTTTTTTTTTTTTTTTTTTTTTTTTTTCTCCGGTACCAGGAACTGAACTCACGACCTTGCGCTTGCCAGGCAGGCGCTTTGCCGCTGAGCTAAATCCCCAGCCCCTCCCACTGAAGTTTTTATTGCACTTTTATTAAAGCAAATCAACTGCTTATGCTTAGGCCTCTAATATGTAAGTACTACATGGTAATTTTATTACTTTGTAATGTTTGATATCTGGCAAAATTAATTCAATTTCCTTATTCTTCTAAAGAATTTTCATGGTTATTCTTTTATTTATTCAGTTTTATATTAAGATATAATTTATGTAACATAAATTGCACTATTTTAAAATGTGCACATAATGGGTTTTAGTATACTTACTCTGTTCTCTGCTATCATGTAATTCTAGAACATTTTCATCCTCCCCTATGGAAACCTCATTCCCATCAGCAATTAGTCCAATTTCCTGTTTTCCCCATTTTCTGCAACCACTAATTCTCTTTCTGGTTGCATGGGTTTGGCTATTCCTGGTATATCATAGAAACGGAGTCATACAGTGTGTGGTCTTTAGTCTGGGATCTTTCACTCACATAATGATTTCAATGTCACCCATGCTTGAAATAGTACCGTGTCCCAGTGTTTTGTTCCTTTCTGTGGCTGTCATATTGCAGTATTTGAATATGCCACAACTGCTTATCCATTCCTCAGCTGTGGTCACTTGAGTTGTTTCTAGTTTGGAGACATTATGAATAATGCTGGTAAGAACATTTTGCATGTAAATTTTGTGTGAACATATGTTTTCTTTTTTCTTGGGTATGTACTGAGCAGTAGAATTGTTGGATCATATAGTAGCTTTGTGTAAATTTTGGGGGAATTGTTTTTCACAGTGGCATCACCATTTTACATTCCCAACAGGAATTTGTATGAGGTTTTCAATTTCTTTACATCCTCACTAACACTTGCATTTTCTGGGTTTTTGTTTTTGCCATCCTAGTGGATATGAAGTAGTATCTCACTATGATTTTGATTCGCATTTCTCTAATGGCTAACATTGAATGTCTTTTTGTGTGCTTACTAGACATTTGTTGATCTTCTTTGGAGAAATCTGTACTTAAATCCTTGGCCAACTTTTTTGTTTGCTTGCTTTCCTTGGCTTTGTTGTTGCTTTTTGATCTTGCTGTGTAGTTCAGGCTGGTCTTGAAATCACTGTGCAGCCCAGGCTAGCCCTGAACTTGTAGTGGTCCTCTTGTCTCAGGCCCTCAAGTACTGGGATTACAGGTATGTACCACTATGCCCAGTTCTGGTCAACTTCTGCTTTTTATTTTGTCTTATGGTTAACTTGCATGGGTTGGTTATATAGTTAACATACAGGACCATTATTAGTATATAACTGTGGAGGACCACCTGGGTGACTCTCCTTGAAGGAGGAGCAGTTGTCTCCATTTTGGCTAAACCTGGCCCTATTTCCGTGTATTATGTGTACAGAGCTTTTTCTTATCCCTTCAAATGGCTTTAAGCAATGCAAATTGGTCCAGCTGAGGTGCTGATGGTAGTCCTTGAAGCAAAGATGACAGGGCATGTTTCCCCGGACCACCATAGCTCCCTCGTGTGAGCCTGGGTGACGTGGGATAGCGAGCCATGCTTCATGCTGATGGCTGGGATGGAGCCTCGGGATAAGAGGCTATGGCTTCGTAGGGCATAAAAGATTATACATGGGAGCTGAAGCACCAGCCCCAAAACATTAGAAACCACCTAGAATTGGGTCATGCAGATTACTCTTTCTGCACATTCTTCTCTGCCTATTGCAGACGTGATTTCGGGCCTCCTACTTAGCCCAGCTCACAACACTCACCCACTTCCCAACATTCTCACAGTCACTCATCCTCAAGCCCCTCCTTTCTTCACAAATTAATAAAACCCAGGTTTGGCCCTGGGTTGAGGCCTTTCTTCCAGTTAGCCAACACCATGGCTGGACCTAGGACCCTTTGACTTCCCACAACTACAAATATGCCTTAGTGTCTTTATTCTCGCCATGGGTTTCACTGGAAGTGGTAGATTGGAATTAACTCAGTAGAATGCCAATAACTTTTCCAAGGGATCACAAATATAAACTTCCTGGGCCACAGCGAGGACCAGGAAGGGCTCCCTATATATAATTTGCAAATATTTTCTTTCATTCTGTGGATTATATAGTGGTACCTTGGTGTATTAACTTAATTTGTTTTACAGTTTTGGGAAGGATGGCTGTGCTTTGTGGGGAAGATAACTGTGGTCATGTTTGTCACCTGATGTGGTTTGTGAACAGAAGCAAAATTTTGCCCAAGTGCTTTTGTTTGGAAACTGAATTGTCTGCAAACAGAAACGTGTGCCCCGAGGTGTTACTGTCTCTTCACTTCCTTGATTGTTTCCTTTGATGTACCTATATTTTTAATTTTGATGATGTTCAGTTTATTTTGTCTTTGGTTGCTTGTACTTTTGTGTTCTGACCATTCTGGTACATTAATTTTTTCATTTAAACTTTGAGATCAGCTTATCTTATTTTAAAACTCTATTGGTATTTAAAGAGATAACAATTCATTTAGGAAAAACTGGAAATTCTCAAGAGGGAGCTTCCTATCAAGGAAAGATAGGCCTTTCCATTTACCCAAGTCCTTTGTGTGTTTTTCACAGTATTTTAAGATTTGCTTCCTATAGACCTTACCATTTTTAATTATATTTAGTTTTATACTTTATTTTTCTTATTATTGTAGCTTACTTCAATGTGGAAATGTTGACAACTAACAAAAGTATTTGAGCCGTAGTATCTCATAGTATCCTGAGGTCTACACTAGGCCACGTTCAGATCTGCAGACCCAGAACTGCTCCACTCTTTGCTGTTTAGGTAGGGAAGTCTAGAGGTGTTGAGTGGCTTACACAAGGACACACAGCGAGGAGGTGGCAGGTGGAGGTGTCTGTTGCTACACTTAACCTGACTCAGAGTCCCAAGCTCTTCATCTTACCAACCTAAAGAAAACATTGTGGGTCTAGGAAAACGGCAAATGTCCTTACGTGCATTGGGAACTCACATTTGCCTTGGGACTGACTTTACCAATCAAGATAAGAATTAGACAAGAATTAGGAAAAAAATAAATGGACATAAAACAATGGTCCAAGAAGAGAAAAAGCAAAATTCAGTCAGTCAGACTGATACACACACTCACACCCTAAACCCTCAAACCTCCAGAGCTTCCTGCCTGTGAACCGAAAGGGGGAGTGCGAGTTTCTTGCCTCAGTTGGCAGGTGCTTTCTCAAAGGCCCGCAGGCCTCCACTTCCTGAGGAGGCAGCGACAGAAGAGCCAGCAGAGACTCCTTCAGAGCCTGTCTCCCTCTGCCGTCTCGGCCACAGCCGCCTCAGCCCCTGCCTGTTGTTGCTGTCCTGGACGTGGTCAGGATGAAGAGGAAGACACTTGCGATCGCGGCCATCCTGCAGGCACAGCTCGCGCTCTCAGGTAGGGCTGATGGCTCGAAGGCAGAGGCCTCCTCAGGGCTCTTTGTGTGTGTTGGGGGTAGGAGAGGGATGGGGAGGAGCTGGTGTCTCCTCCGAATCCTGTCCTCCCTAAATCAAGGGGCCGCTGAGCAGGAAATGTCCATGACGGACAAGCTGGGCATCACTTCAGAGCCAGCTGTTCGAAAGCTCAGCTGTCTGAAGTGTGGATTTTCCAGAGACGAGAGGAGAAAGTTTATGGAGGGGAAGAACCAGGGAAGGAAACAGGAGAAGAAGTGAGGCAGGCCAGTGTGGAGAAAGGGAGAGAAACCCAGCAGGATCAGAAAATGTCAGGAGGCCTAGATTCACACTGCGACGTTCTTCCTGTCACCCTTCCGTCCGCTCCCTACTCCCCCTTGCTGGCACGACACTCTGCCCCCAAAAGAACCTCTCACTGGTCAGCCAGGCAGGGTCATGGCCTGTGACCCCCTCTGTCCTGAGCCACCTTGGCAGGCCAGGGACCAAGTGGAGTGGATGGACTAAGCCGGGGGCAGGTATAGGAAGCAGGCAACTCGCAGCCTCCTGCAAGGCACTCACCAGGTTCTGGCCTGGAGCGTCCCTGCCTGGGCTCAGGCCTGTCATGGCTGCCCGAGGACACACCCATTCTGGGCTGGGTGACTCACCCACCACCACCCCTGACTAACAGAGGGGACAGAGTGAGGATGTGCCTTGTCAAGTAACCACCACAAGAAACAGCCAGCCAGACAGCCAACAAGAGCACTTGCTGCTTCCCTGCACCTTCTAGGCCACGATGGCTGGCTTTCTGCATTTTGTCGCTGCCGTGTTTTCTGGCCCGGATGCTGGGGAGGAAAACAAGGGGAGACAAAACGGGCCAGACAGGGGATTGACACTGTGCCATTTGGCGTGTATTTAGATCTAAAGAAACAGGGCAGGGGCAGGACGTCATGACCAGTGTCCTCCCTCCACTTTACCATTCGTGCCAGTGTGGGAGTTCTGTTTAGGGACAAGACTGGGAAGGCAGGAGGGGCCTCTGGCACCTGTGTTCCTGCCAGGGAGCATGGCACAGCCCTGGGCTAGCGAGCTAAGGCTGGAGGGCCGTGTAACTGTGGGTTTTTCTGTAAGATCACAGCTGTCTTCTCAGAAAGACCCTAGTGTGGATGAATCACATGGGGTTGTGGTGAGGGCACAGCGTGGCTGGTTCTTGCATGCAGGGGACAAAGAAGAGCTTAACATCTGGGAACTCCGTGATGTCGGGGAAATAGCTGAGGGCTGCAGCTCTGGACTCTGGTGTCAGGCTGGGAGGCTGCAGGAGGGAGATGGTGTGGCGCCATCCCTGACCGTCACCTCACCAGTCCACTTGTGATAGGCTTTGAGGTGGAGGCTAAGTGAAGGATCATGGCTGCCAAGTGTGGCGAGCAAAACCACCCAGAGGAAGAGCGGCTACCCAGGCCCCATTTCCACACAGAACTTGCGGGAAGACAGAACCACGGGCAGACTGGGTTGCTCACTTTTTTTGTGTCGTTTGCTCTGGTTCTATGGAGACTGAGATTATAGCTATTTTTAGACACGAAGATAGGGAAAAGTTGTTCAAAGTTTCCTGGCCCAGAAATGAGGTGAGAGGAGGTAAGTGGAGGCCTCGAGGGGCCTGGGACACAGGCCCTCAATGCACCAGGCTGCCTGTGCGCAGCCCTCTCCACTGTCCCCTGGACGAATGGCTGTCCACAGAGTACAGGGGTCTCTCCTGTGTTCTTTCTCAGTTAAGTCACTTGGCCCTCCCGCCACCAGACTTACTCCTGGGCCTTTCCATTTGCATTTCTTTGGGATCAAAGACAGTGATGACCTCGTCTGTCCACCAAGTCTACCAAGACCCTCTCCAGAGAGGCCTAGAGCCAGACGAAGCTAACATGGTGTGCAGGGCGGTGGGGTGTACATTTGCCTGTGGACCCTCAGCTCCTCCGTGCCTCTGACTCCCTGCCCATTGTGGACAAGAATGCACCCATTGCCCAGTGTGGCCTTTGTCCTTCCTTCGATGAGGAACTTCAGGTTGTGAGCAGCTCAGCTTTTAGGAAGTAGCTGGACATGGTGCAGGTAGGACAATCACAGGCCTTCCTAGCTCTGCAACCCTAGGCAATTTACTCTGTCCCTCCAGGCCTCAGTTTTCTTACCTCTAAAGTTAGATTAGAAAAACTGGCTCTGCCAGATGGTGCATGGGAGGCCAGTGACACAGGTGTAAAAAGAATTTGCCGACAAAGATTATAGGAAAGACAAGAATTTATTTAGATCACTGAGTTGCCTTTCAAGAGGGACGGTCAGCGAGCTTCCAAGAGAGGATCAGCATACTCAGGGACAGAGACTGGGTTTTTAAAGAGGTAAGAAAGGGTCCAAGTTGGCAAATGTAACTATTTTAGAGATGCATTTTCCAGGGCATCCTGTTCCCTGTTAATTTTTCAAGACCACCTATGTTGTAACTAAAGTCGCAAATGCTCAAGGTCTGGCTCAGGCTTCACAAAAGGCCCTCGGACCTTAGATAAGGACAGCTGCTGTTTGGGAAAGATATGACCTTAGCTCTGGGGAAGAAAGGATGTTTTTGTAGTTACTTTTACCTCCCTTGTTGCTGCAGCGCCTCGTGACTGTGTGGTTCGTGCTACCAAAGAAGTTTGGGTGCTCATGGTTTTAACACTCTTGTCACCACGATACCTTTCTTAAAGAAATGAGAAAATGAGAATTGAATGACATGTGCCTGATACGTATATGACCAAAAAGTGGGAGTTGCATTGCTTATTATCATTACATGTTGGACTGAATTCCTGAAAAACATTGGGCGCAGGAATCGGAGACCCTGGGCTGGGGTTCCCCGTTTGCCCCCCATTGTGCTGCAGAGCAGCAGGATATTCCCTCCATCTGTGGACATGCAGCGTGTCCTCTCCCAAGTCCCCAGCGTATCCCTGCCAGCGTGGGAACACAGCCACAAGGGCTGTGCCGGGCACCATGGCCAAAGAGAGTCGCGGCTGGGGTGGTCATAGGATAAGCATTACAGCCACCATTTTAATTTTTTTAAGAGAGCATGTAGGCAAATATTTCTCCAAAGTGAAAGCATATCCAAAAGAACATAAACAGTGAAGGGGGAGAAAGTTAGAAACACGTTCCTGTGGCCATCCCTAGCCAGGGTGGTCGCCCTGAGCCAAGTAGCTGGCTGGGGTGCTCGATCCCTGGGGTTCAAAATACAAACATCTTCAACACCAAATCTGCACAAAACTGCCGGGAGGGGGGCTTGAGGAAACTTCTATGTGACCCAGCATGAGGCTTCATGGCGTGCACCCCAGTGGTTAATTTTGATTTCCAGCAGCCTGGCTCTTCGTTTCCGAATGCACTGTTCGATTTTTCTGCCTTTTTCCCTCTCAGACTCAGGGGCCTAAAAACCATGTCTGCTGCCACTCCACAGTCCCAGCACGGTCCCGGCACACTCCGGCTTAGGTATATAACCACTGCTGTACGTTTGAACGTTCTTTTTATTTTCACTTTTATTCTTTTAGAAAAACTCATATTTAATTTTTATTTGATATATGCTTTTACTTTCAAAAGTCACCCCGCATTCAGAAGGGTCCAGGCACTCGAGGGAACAATTTCAGAGTACAGTTGTTAGACACACGCTCCAGGAATCCTTTTTCTCCTGAGTCTGTATCTCTAGGTCAGCTTTTTGGTTGAATGAATGTCAAAAATACTTCAAATTAAAATTCTTGATTCTGCTTGGCCCAAGATGCTTCTTAATGACACTGAAGTGAAGGTAGATTTAATCAATTTGAACACTCAGTTAATCTTGTATTTAAAAAAATTAAATCAGGCCAGGTGTAGTGGCACACGCCTGTAAACTCAGCACTCGGAGGCTGAAGCAGGAAGATGACAAGTTCAAACCCAGCCTAGGGAATTTAATGACTTAGGGAGACTCTGTTTTAAAATAAAAAATAAACAAGGGCTGGGGCTAAAGCTCAGTACAAAGGCCCTGGATTTAATCTCCAAACCCAAAAAGAAAAAAAAAAAAATTAAACCAGATATTTGACCTGTTAGTTGAAATGAAATGCTTGTTTGAGTCACTGTATGCTTGTCGCCAGGGTTTCCAGCCCCCCAAACAACTCTGAGTTCCCTGAGGAAAAAGAGGCTCCTATCTTGCTCTCAGACTGAGCACACAGCACAGTACCTGGAACAGGTGACACACTATAAATACCAGCAGTGTTTCTTGAATGAATTACAGTGGGGATGAGCGAAGAACGTCTAAGTGTTTCTATATAGTTAACTTTAATGGTTTATTTGAGGGTCTGTTGGATTGGCATTATGGGGAACTTTCCTCTAGATGACTTGATGTTAAACAATGTACTTTAAAAACAAAACTAAACCAAAAACAGGAATTAAACTGGCAAAGCTGACAAAGGAGTTTGAATGAGTAGAATGATTTGAAGTGAGTTACAAGGCTGGTTTAGAATAAAACCCAGCCAGGTGTGGTGATACAGCCTATAATCCCAACACTTGGGAGGCTGAGGCAGGAGGATTGCTGTGAGTTTGCGGCCTGCCTGGGCTACAAAGTGAGTTCAAGGCCAGCCTGAACTGCATAGTGAGACCCTGTCTCAAAAAGACCAAAAAAGTAAAAAAATTAAAAATTAAAAAATAAAATAAAATCCAACCATTACAAATAATTTTCTTGTTTGACTATATGAAATTCTACTATTTGTTTTGGAGGCGGGTGTGATTGAGCAAGCCTGTAATCCCTAAAAAGATAATTTCATGTGAGTAAACTAACATATATCTCAAAAATAAAGATGCTCATTTTTTTCTGATTTGGCTTTAGCACTGCGGATAGGCAAAAAACAAACAAACAAACAAAAAACCAAAACAAAAAACAAAGCAAAACAAAAAAAACAATGCTAGCACCACTGAAGATTATTAACTAATAAACTAATGAAAAGTACAGTTAGAAAAAGACTGGATTATAGCACAAGCCAAATATCCATT